ATGTTGTGAATCCTTTCTAAGAACGCCCAGGAGGTGTCGAAAGTTAAATTGAACTTGCAAATCAAGGACGACTTTGAAATATCATTCTCGACAAAAAGCTCGCGGAGGTTAGTAGTTTAAAAAAATTGCACTAACGAGCTACCAAGTGGGATCCCCGCCAGTTTTAGAGTTGTCTACCCTTTCCTTTCCTTCTCTAGGAGAGACTCATAGTATTTTTGGGGGGCTTTTATTTCGTATGAAAGTGCGTGAAGAAGAGATTCGTAGGTCGATCTCATCAGAAGAGGACGGCTGAATCCCGTTGCACTGCAGCCGTTTGGTTTTTGTACGACGTTCAGGTAGACGTAGTCAATATGATGAACATCATCAGAGCTGGAACTCATTCTTGTAAAATAATAGATAATTAGTTAGTTAATTGTGAAAGGTTGCTATAGCTGTCGGTTGGAAGAGAATTTTAGCAAAAGATCAATTAATGACTTATCAACTTTCAAAGTGATATGCTAGTGGAGGAAGGACTACACACTGAAGGAGTCGAGTTCTTCATTCATCGTGCGTTTTATGTACCATTTTCTCACTGACTTTGTGTGAATTGGCAGGGAGTGGAGCTGGATTTCTGCTCTTATTACCAGTTACAAATTGCAGTAACTTTTACACTTTTTTGGCCTCTTGTCAAAACCTTGTTCGTATTTTCAGGGCGAATTGGCAGAACCTATCCCCTATTGCATCCTTTGTCATTTCTGTTAACTATCACTACGTGTGCCATTTTGAAGAGTTTGATATCGTTGCCACGGATGGCACTGTTCGCTGGCGTTGGCTACGAGGGTGACCGTGGGAAGTCCGGGAAGGTACCTAGTCATCTGGAAGTACGCAAGCAGCAACAGCAAAGGATACAGTACGGAACACCTCCTTTAAAGTCTCATTATAATTATAAAAAAGGTAATTAAAATGAAAAAAACAATTCGACATCTTAAGAAGACTATGATCAAGTCAACGTTGACCCCAGGTTGTTCTTAATATCCACAGGCCTATTGATAAAACGCATTATATGACTACATTTTTATACTGGCCCTTTGTCTTCAAAATAATTTTTTTTAATTTTCAATAAGTGATGATCTTTTCAGATTTGTCTAGAGGTGTATACAGGGCTCTGGCTTCATGAGTTTCCATTAACCTGCCCGCTCGGCGAAGTGAGTGGGCCGTTGCCAAGGCACCCGTCTAATGCATCAATCTGGCAAGGAGCCATTGAGATTGCAGAACCCTTTCCGGTAAGTGGAACATCTTTACATAACACAGGGGTTTTGACAGACTTTCGGGGAGAGGTTCAAGCATTAAGGATACCACTCCTGTAACAACTTAGTATGTTTAGAAACTGTGAGCCTTTCTTGAATAAGAAGTTACATCACCTTAAGTCGCTTAAGATGAAATAAGCTTTTCTTATTCAGCCTTGGCCCCTATGGGATTCGAAAGTGAATCAGGCTCCATTTCGCTACACAATTACGGATAGCATGTGATACATATTTGTTTATACCTATCGTTTTTATATTATACTATCTGTTGATGTATTTATATATTTCGTTTTATTCATTTATTTATGAACATACTTATTTGATACGTAGTATAAACGTCGAAAATAGTGACAATTGCAAGTTTTTCTTAAAGATACTAGTCTTATTTTAGGTGTGAATCCGAGAGAAGTCTTGCTCACCCTGGATACCACATCTGCCACGTGAAGCAATGGGGCATAGGCTATGTGAATACGTGGCAAAAAGTTGCCACTTAATGTTTACGACCTGGCTTCAAATACAGTTGGGCGTGGTAATTAAATAAAGGCTATGTAAAGTTTACAGCCCAGTCTGGGTGGGAAGGCCTTCTGGTTGGCGAGGTCGTGATAACTTAAGTGGTGATGAAGGATGAAAAACTAAAAATTCGGTTATTAGAAAGTAATGAGTGACTCTAAAATATGTCTTTTGTGAGTACTTTCAGGGAGGGTACATTTGGACATCAATTCCTAGTTTGCTTTGATTCTGAGAAAGTTGACTCTTCATTTTCTTTTATAATAATAGTCTTTCACTGTCCTTCGCTTGCCAAATGATTATTCGCATTTGCCTGGGTCCGAAAACATGCTGAAAAAGCCTGCGTCCAAAAACTATTCTTCCTTGGATGTGTACATACTCATTATCTTGAAATTCAAGCAATTAGGGCATTATGTTTGTCTTTAATGTCAATATCTTATGGAAATACCCGTGATACTTAAATATGAGTTTAGTCACCCCAGGTAGTTTAAGGTTATTTCAAGGCTGATAAAAAGGTTTATTCTACGATGCTGTGAAAAGGAAAAGGGAAATTCAACTGCATTGTGAAGCTTTCTCATATTATCGTGAGAATAATTCCATTATAAGTCCTTTAATCGCTTGCTGGGATCTAAGAATTTTTGATAACACTTTATACTACTCTTGTCGAAAATAAGTAAACAAACTCATTTTTCACCTGTCTTACCCCTAGGCGGACTGAGCCAGAGATGGATCTCGTTGTTGCGAAAATTTTAAGTTTACGCTAGGTAAAGTTAACGAAAAGGATCTTATCTAAATGTTTCATAAAAACTCAAAGACATTGTAAAAAACTCAATATAAATTGATGCATATAGATATATATAAAGTTATTTGCTTGACTCCCTGTATGCTCAAGCGTGTGCGGATGGATGTGTTCGTTCGGATACAAAGTCACTATTGCTGGGACGGCTTTAATTTCATATGAAAGTTCATGATAAAAAGATTCGTAGATCAATCTCATCAGAAGACGATGGTTGATTTCCGTTGTTATGCCCTGTTTGTCTTTGATACGAAGTTCATGTTTCGTGAGAAATCGGGCTAAGCTTTCCTCCCTCATATTATGGACACCATCAGAGCTGGAACTAATTCTTGTAAACGTATAAAGTATTTACCGGCTCTATCCTACATGTGTATACATTCATACAGAAAAAGTTTTTAAATAAAGATGAATATATAGTGGTTTATTTAGTTATTCTGCATTCGTCTCTTATACATAGACAGACACACTTGAGTATAAGCGAATCAACCAAACCATTCTGTATCCATCTATATTGGCCCAGTGTTAACTTGCGACTCACAAGAATGAGTTCCAGCTCTGATGCTGTCCATCATATGATGAACTAAAGTTTAGCCCGATTTCACCCGAAACGAGGGAGGATGTCTCATGGACTGGGCCAACCTGAATGTCGTACTAAAGCTAACCGGTTGAAAATGAACAGTAATCGGCCGTCGTCTTTCGGTGAGATCAACTAACAATTCTCTTCGGCATGCACTTTCATACAAAATGAAAGCCTCCCCAACCGAAGCCCAGTTACTCGTCGTAGCTACAACATCACTAGCCATAACTTTGAGTCAAGAAAAAATTAAGTAACCATCATTCCTGATTATCAAAGCTTGATGACTCAAGGAAATATTTAGGGCGATTTTTTGATCCCGGACCTAAAAATAGTTAAGCTAATAGTTTAGGCCGATATTTAGATTGAATTGTAATACTAGTTTAACCATAAATGAGCCAAATAAATGAATGTCTCTCTTTTAGACAACTCACCAACCTCTCTCGAGCATAAAGGGTTCAAAACAATCTTCCCGACCCATTCCTTAGAGTTTGAATAACTTTAGTCTATGCCCAAGATTCCTTGAAGGTTGTTATGACTAATAAGAAAACAAAGAATGGAAAATGAAGCCACCTCTTCAAAGAGATGCTACAAAATCTACGGCTTATGGTCTACCAAGGGTGCAAACGGAGGGTATTTCTTCCACGTTAATCATAGATTGTTATG